GATACCATTCTGTTGAACAGGGATTGCTAATGAATTTTTCCATTTTCCCGACCAAACTTTATGAACACACGGCGGACGTGACCGGTCGGAAGGGGATGCTTACTCCTCCATGGCACATGATCCCACCTCTTATAATCAAGAGGTTTGCTCTACCCCATATATATGCAATGTTTTGTTGACTTATGAGCTCGAATATTGTTTGTTATCCCCAATGTCCTATAAAATGTATATAGCAGTTCCTGAAAATGACATTGGACAAGCTAGTAATAACATCATCCGATTTCTTAAGATCAAATCTATTGAGGATGAATAGCTAAATGTTCATTGAAAATAAGATGAGTTTATGGTATTTTTATTGAGCTACTAAAATCAATTAGAAGATAAATGGACACATTTTTTAAAATTCCTATAAAATTATTAAGTACTTCATGAGTCCTATATAGTAAAGTGATTGGAGATCTACTAGCAAAGGACATCAAAAGGTTGTGATTCCCATAGCCATCATTGATTTTAAGGATTTTCATACTTTTCATACTTTTTGTTAGGTTATTATTTACACACGGAATTGTCGACATATTTTCCCAATGATTACAAGATGTACGGGTTAAGTGGTCCACAGAGGAAACTAGCTCTTCCATGGTACTTGAAACCTGTCCAAGTCAAGAAAAATTTTAATTTTTTGTCGCATCTAAATTTTATAATCTGACTATTATACTTAAGGATCATATAAATGATTGAAGATATGCTGACAATGGAAATACTCTAAACATAAAATGTTGGCAAGGGAAATTTTGCCCTAAGCAGGAAAACGCCATGCATGCATTGCATCTAACATTTGATTTAGCTATATCTTGTTTTTTACATACAAGAACTTTTTTCTTTAATTAAAGAAAGTTTGTTTTTTTTTCTCATTTCTGGTATTGTGTTTAAAAATTCATTTTCATAAATCATATAAAGATTGAACTTAAACTTAACATCTCTTTGGTCTTAAAAAACTTTATCATAAGAATACCGTTCATTTTTCCTTTAATATACAAGTAAAAAGGACTTGTTCATTAACTCAAGCTTTTACAAGTTTATGTGTAAGATGGTTTCTTATCGTTAAAAAAATGAATATTCATACATTTTACAATAAAAATGAAATATTTTCATACATTTCATAATATTAAATGAAATTTTCCATTTTGATTAATACATTTTAAAGATAAAAAGTACAAATCCAAAATTTAACCTAAAAATAATTTTTTTAAGTGTCACGTTAAAAAAATCATTTTTAAAACATTCAAATTTTAGAAGCATTGATTAAACTGAAAGTCTAAAAAGCGAAAGTAGAAATATAAACCCTTGACAAGATACAAAGTGTCTTTCGACATGTAGATTCCTATTGATGTAGCACATTTAGTGTATTTGAGCTGAGGCTACGTCCATACTCATCAATTACAGGAGACATTTATGCTTTTTATGTGCACTTTTCCCTAGCTAAACAGTAAACCAGGCGAAAATAGGTCAACAGGCCGCGGTGCAATTTGAAACCGCAAAATATGACTTGATGGGAAAGGAATCATCGGCCATCACACTTACTGGACTGTCTTATAGGTTATCTTCTATTTAAGGAGGTGACTTGTAGATTTATAAGTTTTTTTTTGGTATTTTGATAGTTTACATTATTCATAAACCCTCTGCTCACTTGTATAAAATGTTGCTTGAACCTTAATGATTTTCCAAAAGATATGTATTTTATAAGTCTCAGTTAAATACAAACACTTATAGTATACATGCAGCTTGCGGGGCAAAATTGGACAAAAATGTCACTTCAGCTTGACTAATTAATAAAAGACTTATAGACAATAATGTCCTTAAGACTTATCTCTCTTATCCGAGTATTTATGAATCTTATATATTTAACAAAACTTAAAAAAGTCACTATATTTTTATATAAGGAGAAAATCTAATTAAAAAAAAAATTTTAAATAGGAAATTTGCACTATTTTCATGTTATATATTACCGTCTACTAAGCAATTAATCTTAAATTACTTTAATAATTAATCGCATATTGATATACATTACTGTATCGTTGAACCTACATTGAAAGGACAAATTTATAAATACTTGCAATATGCATAAATGCTCAATATAAAAAAGGTAAAATCTAATAAAACTTTTTAAATATCAAAATTAATTATCTCAGATCTAAATTATAAATAACTTTGTATACATACTAATAAATTGTCGGTTTGGGTCTTTCTTTTAAAACATGATATTTGTCTGGAGAAGATATATTTTATAATCAGAATTTCCTGACCAGGTGCTCTTCCAGATTTTTGTGGTCATTTCATGTGTTACTCATCTTTGTCTATAAAACGTTTGTCTGATCATGAGTGATTGCGTGTAATATAACAGAAACTGTTACTTTTTATTGACAATGAGTCAAATTTTTGCTGATTAAGCATTTTTGTTTATAATGTTGAAATCAGATCAAGTTCTTTTTGTCCGTCACGCAACAATCCTGTTCAAAGTCAGAATTTTAACAATTCTATTGTAGTCATTATGACCTTACTAACAAATATAATTTAACATTGGCTTCTTCTTTGACTGAACTTTTTCACAAATAGACTTAGGCACTTATCATAAATTAAACTAGATCCCGGTGTGCTTGAGATAAAAGATACCACAAAGTCTGACATATCTGTTTCATTTTTGGATATTTTACTTGAAAAAGACGTGAATGGTAATCTAACAGCCAAGCTCTATGATAAACGTATTGACTTTAACTTTTCTATCGTCAACTTTTCTTACTTATGCAGAAATATACCTTCATGACTTTCCTAACTTTTCTATCGTCAACTTTACATACTTATGCAGCAATATACCTTCATTTCCTGCATACGTTTATATATCTCACTTGATTTGATATGCAAGAGCATGCTCTACGTATGCACAATTTATAAAACGAGATCAATTTTTGACAAGCAAGTTGATGGATATTATTAGCAGTCTCGTTTAATATCATCATTTCAAAAAATTCTATGGTCGATACAATGACCTTGTCAGCAAATACAATTTAGCACTGAGTCAAATGCTGAATAAGGTTTTTCATATTAATGTTAGTCCATCATTTATACACTGAATTGACGACGGATTTTCCCGTTATTTCCCGATCACGACAAGGAGCACATAGCGGTGTGACCAGTCGGCAGGGGATGCTCACTTCTCCATAGCACCTGCTCCCACTTCTAAAGTTTTTGAAGTCCGTGTTTCCTCTGCTCCTTTTTTTGTTGTATGCTTATTATCTCTGTTCGTTATCTATATATATTTCAACCAAGCGCGTGGAACATTTTTTTGCTAAAATATTTTTTTTTTAAATGTTTTTTCCTTTTTAATTGACAGTAAATATACAAACCATCTTACTTTTTAACTTTAAAAAATGCATTATTTGAACCTGTCTCCTTTCCTATTACAATACAACTTTATTTTGATGGGTGTTGTACTATGTTATGCATTCATATACTAACGGGTGTCCCTTGAATTCTCGTATCTTTAAATATTTTAATATATATGTACTGTATTATTGCTTATTATATTTCAAATCTTTTTTTCCATTTACATCAATGATAAAAAAGCAAATGAGCACATTTATCTACATTTTATAAGCATTTGAAAAATGAAATTTACCTAAGTTGTCTTTTCAAAAGTATACAGGTTTCAAAGGTTTTATACTTAAACGCAAAAGAAACGCAACATCTTATTTTAGGGGGGAAAGTATGATATATAGCAAAGAATTTTGTTTTCAAAGGTATTTATATCTTCAATTTTGTAAATATTGGAAAATTTACGGTTGAACGATTTTCGTCCCATTATCAAAAGTTAAGCTTGAGTCTACTTAACAGAAATAAAACAAAATGCATATTTAAGAAAGCATTTGGCAATATTATTGAGCTTTAAGGTTTTGTAGCTGTTCATCAGTAATGCAGCAATATTTCAAAAATTAAATTTCCCTCTCCTTTTCCGTACCAATGCTAAGGCTGTCTGTAAATGACTTAAGTATACACATTTCCATTGCTCTAGCTGGGAAATCTTAAAATAAAGATGATGGAGAATTGCTGATACAAAAATGCACTACATTGCACCACAGGCCCTTGGATCGCTTAGAAAATTGTGTGTGTAAAAAAGATAAAGGTATGGAATTCTTACGCAGGGTATCCAATTTGGCTATTAAAATATTTTGTTAATTAAATGCCCTAAAATTAAACTTTCATCTTAAATCTATTAAACGGTAATCAATCGTTATTTCTACAAAAATTCATTCCGAAATTCCGTATACTTCTCGAGATATTCTGATATCAATCAATTTCAAAAATGACCTACCTATTTTTTACTCGAAATTAGCTTGAGTCCCTGGTCATTCACATATGTAAACAGACGGTGTTTGAAGTTCAGCAAAGATTTGCATAATATTTGCAAAATTTTTCAACATTTTAAAGTTGATTTCTAACTCCAGATTGTAAGGTTCAGTCTGTGATAATTCCTTTGGCGAAAAATTAATTTGAAAACGTCTACATCAACAACTCCATCGCCATGTTGATAATGAATGTAAAAGAAACTTTTGTTGAAAGAATTTTTCCCCGAATGTTTGATGTTCTTTCGATTTTAAAAACAATTAGACCGCTAAAATGTTGCTGGTGATGAATTAAGTTCATATGAAAAATTAGAGAAAATCTTGTAGAACTTGAATGCAAATGAGCAAATATTCATTGAGTATAGAATAAATTCCGGGGAAAATGTTTCCCTTCGTTCCCGCTTAACAATTAGTATAGCTTCTTGAAAGGCCCAAGCTGATGTCGAGTAAAATCAATAAGGCCAATTTTGGAATTGACTTCTGAATATCTCGAAAAGTATACGAAATTATGCAATGAACTTTGGTAGTTACGAAGAATTTTGCTATACGAATAGATATGAATAAAAAGTAAAATTGTAAAGCATTTGATTTAAAGGAATTTTAATGGCGAAAGTAGGTACCATATGAAAAGAGTTACATACTTTTTTTTCTTTTTTAACACCTAAATTTTTTTCTAAGCGATCTGAAGGCCTGTGCATTACACCTCAGCAGCCTCTTACATATCATAGACATTAATATTAGTCCACGCACAGGAAGTTCAAGTATTTCTACACTGCGATAGGTTAGAGAAAGTTCGACCTTATCATTTGAAAAGCATGCATTTAAAAATTGGGAAAAAATATTTCTTTCGCTCAAATTTCTTGTTCGCCATACGAAATCACCAGTGTACTCACATTTCTGATATTTCGAGGCTGTAATGCAAATTGAATAATAGAAATTTCTAATTCTTAATTATTATCTACCAAACAAATATTTTTAAGAAAACATTTCAAAGTTATCTTAAATGGAACAACAAATAAAGGAATACTTAATAGTTTCCTCGCTTTGTACTAAAGATATCATTTTCTTTTTTCCAGAGTTCTTCAGCCAATCAGCGATTTTCTCGGAATGTTGCTAGAAGAAGCCGCGTTACAGCGCCATCTAGACAGGAAGCAGGCTTTGTCAGCAGAAACATAAGTCCATTTACTCGACGATCCCGCACAGCACCACGAGCCCGTGCAACGCCGACTAGAAGACAAGAAAATACTAGAAGACAAGAAAATGGATTCTCTGATATTCTTAGGAGAAGGCAAATTGCCTTTTCACGTAATAGAAACATGGCCCAATCTAATCCAAGAACATCAAATACTGTAAGTAATAGAAATCGGAATGTAAGGGTAAGACCAAATCGAAACAGGAGCAGATTTTCAAATATGCGTTTAAGACATGTTATTAATTCTGGATCTAGAAATATTCCTCAAAGGCATTCATCAGTAAGCAGACCACACAGACTATCAATTCAACCTAGCAACACAGCAAATAACAGACTTGTGTCTGTCCCGAAATCGTTATTGACAGAACTCTTAGAAAATGCAAGGCTTTTAAATAGAAAATTAAATTCCAACCAAGTGAACACAGTGCCCCAAACAGTAACACAGCCCCCTATAAGATTGTCTATATCCCCAAACAATATGGTTAACAGTTTGACTAGTAATCTCGGAAGTCAGTTACAAAATCTTCTTCAATGGAATCAGATTCAAAACGTTCTGGATTCTTCAATTCAGCAGAGGGTTCCTAGCATACCGTCAAGTCTATCTTTCCAACCAAACATAGGAGAGACGCTGACAAATGATCAAACTTTAATGATACTACCTACTATGACGCCGCAAATTATCATCGCTCCTCCAACAGAACCCACCATACCAGAATACAAGCCCACGCAGTTCGACCTCGCTTTGCAGGCACATATTTTGGATGAAATTGGATTCGAAAATCTCGTCACTGAACCACCAGATGCCTCTGAGGTTCGCCATTCACATCCTCAAAAGAAACCTAAAAAGACAAAGATAGTTATCAAGACTAACACCAAAAGTAAACAAACAAATCAGAATAATAACAAAGTGTCGATAAACCAGCAAGGACTTAACAGCTTACAAGAGATTGCTGCCGTGACGTCAACGACGCTTAAGCCAATCAAAATTGTATTCAGCGGTCTGCAGAGTTCGCTTGTTCCTGATGTTATGACCACACCTTCACCAGCAGGACCTATTAGTGTTAATAACAATCAAAAACTCATCATCACACCGTCTGGGAACTATACAATTCAACATCTTCCAGTTGGCAATAATGGATTCCAAATAGCATGATGACGCTGTTGTTGAATTGCAAATTGCAACAGTTGTTATGTGTATATAGCAATGACAAAAATCTTAACAATGGAGACAGAATATTAAAAATCCTGTAATGAAGGAATATCGAGAATGTCTCAAATACTGTACATTTACCGTGCCCTGGGTGTGAAAAAAAGATGGAATCTCATATTAGTCAACTTTATTACATCAAGAAAATTGGAGTGATAATAACCAGACAGTAATACACAGAGATACGATTAAATAATGACCTTTCAGAGGAACATGCAAGGAGGCTGATGACATTTTCTCATACTGAGAATATATGAAATATATCGTCTCGAACCGAGAAGAAATGGAACGCTTATAAAAGATGTTTTAAGATTGTTTATTTAATCATCATCATCATTGTGTGGAGTATAATAATTGCATTGTACTCTACAACAGACTGTACAAAAACAATTTACAGGAAGTTTTGTCGGACTGACCCGGATTTACGATTTTTTTGCTAGTATTTCTTATTCTTTTCGTTTTGATTATAAAAGGATAAACAAATAGATTTGTGTAAAACGTTCAATGAAATACAATAAAGTTGCTACATAGACCAAATTAAATGAAATGATGATGTTAACAAACTAATTTATCAGATTGTAATTCATTACTGTTGTTAATACTTTAAACGAGGTCAGCAACTTAAAAGTATAATCTTTTGAAATGGAACATTCAATCATATCCCTTATTATCAGTATATAATAGATATATTTATTTCAAGATAGCTAGAACAATGTTAGAAGTAAGAAATCAAGCGCGCCAGAGACGGCAACAGCAATACTAATATTTTAATTCAAAATATGTCAAAATAATTTGTATAATTACATGGTGATATCTTAAATTTTGCATTAGAAAAGTTTTAATTTTATTTAAGAAATAATAAGATCCTGCAAAGAGCAATGAATTTGAATTTTTATACCACCTTACTTGCTTTCACAAACAAAACGACTACGTAGGATTACAAAGTTTTAGCCAGGTCCACGTCAAATGACCTGCCACAATATTTTTAAAAAAAATATTTTTAATTTTTTTTTTTGGAAGAACATGTGAATGAATGAACAGTCATTTTTTTATTCATAAAAATACATTTGTAATAAAGACTCAAAGAAAAAATATATATTGTTTTAAAATCTATAAAAAGAAATGTCACTTTAAATCAGTTGAAGTTTAGTGAAAAAAGTCTGTGATTTTAATTTTTCATTTCACTGATATTAACAAGACTATATTTTTTATTTTCATATTTTCGTATCAAATATCCGTAAGAAAAAATATTCTGTAAAACTATGTGCCTTCAATTTCGTAACTATAACAATGTTTACACGAAAGTTAATTTATTTGTAAAAAGGTCAATAAATACAAATATTAACTTTTATTATCATTTATGTTATTTCTAATGGACAAATAAAATAAATTAGGACGTCTATGAATAAAATGAACATTGCTCGGTTACTACTCTCTACTATCTGTCTTGAGTTGATTGTTCATTAAAAATAAATCTTAAAAACTGACAAAATAAAGCAGTCATTAATATTGAATTTGCACACTGAGTGTGAGAAGGGATAATGAAGAGATGTCTTTCCTTCAGATTTTGACCGATCGAAAGAGGGGTGCTTACTTATCCTCCTTGGCACCAGATTTCACCTGTTTTCGGGGATCGTTCTGTACAGGATTTATGAGAACAATCACTGTTCGCTAACTCCCTCTTTCTTTGAACGGATTTGATTAATATTGACTGAGGGTGTATTCTTCTTTAGATAAAATAAGATATATCCCAATAGCATTTAAGAGCTCAATGATTCGATAAACAAAAAATACATTTTGTTATTTCAAAAAAAAAAAACTGAAAACGTTTGCGAACTATCTTTACACATATAAATAATCATTTCTTTCCAGGTATATTCTTCCTTAAAAAAGTTATTTTGATATAATTTTTTGTCTTAATCTTAAATGTTGTATATTTTTTTAGTTTGAATCAAATTTGAACATGATTAAGGTATAAAATAAATATTTCAACCTCTTGGAGCTTTATTATTGTATGTTTTTTTCTTAATTTTAAATATATTATTAAAGTGTAGAAGATTTTTAGTTTGAACAGAATTGATACATGCTTTATGTTGGCTAACCTTCGTTTTAATCAATTAATAAATATTTCAATGACAACACTTTGTATTAGTGGAAATACCTTCTTTCTTTTTTGTATCATATCGGCGTTTTTAAGAATAGTAAGGGTATGTGATGAAATTTATGGAAATAATCTTCTTATATAATATAGGTATATGATTAACAGTATTTGAGCAGCATTTGAGCTCAAAAGCTCTTTAAACAATACAAAATCGGAGCGTAGTAAACACGGAGCTCCAAAATATCAAATGTGGGATAAGGTGTGATGGAGAATTGAGCATCTCTTGCCAACCAGCCACACCTGTTGTTTGCAACTATTATGATCAGGAAAACGGAAACAAAAATTTGTGAACAACTCAATGTGTGATTAATGGCCTAACAATCAGTGTGAAAACAAAAGTCAGTCAGCATTTGACATTATGATAAAGTGTTTTTGCTGACTTGGTCATTGTATCTAACACAGAACTTACAAAATGATGACTTTAAACGAGACTGCTGATATACTTGCTTCATCAAATTGTTTGTCAGTTAATTACCTGGTTTAATAAGTAAATACCTGCACCGGTAATATCTAATCCATCGTTGTTAATAGATTCAAAGCTTCGCCTTTTTACTTCAATTGTAATTGTTCTGAAGAGAACACATCAAGAAACGCCATTGTTAATCCGTTGCTTTTAAGAAAAATTACAAGCTCATCTTTTTATCATTGTTATAATTTTTGGCTTTATACATGTAAAAAAAAGATATAATTATATTCGTATTATATTCATATGAAGCAGAATTTACTTTAAAAAAACTCCTAATTGAGACAAAATAAGCCCACTTGCTCTGACATTCAACACGATATTTTAACACCATACTATCAATTAACAAAAGTTGCTTCCATTCATTTGTCGGCTTCATACATTCAACTAAACCTGAAGTAAAAGATACCACAAAGTCTAACACATCTTTTTCATGCTAAGAAATTTCACTAGAAAAAGACCTTAGTGGTAATCTCACGATGAAATTTTTATGATAACTTGATGACCTCAGTTTTTATCATAATCAAAGTCCAATACTTGAGTGGAAATATATCCTTGCCTGCATATGGAGTTAATGTTTTCAATTTGAATAATACACGAGAGCATGCTCTACCTACGAACAAATTCTTAAACGAGGCATCATTTTGACAAAACAGTTTATGAATTAAAGATGCAAGTAGTCGGTTAAGTCTTCATCTCATGTTCTTTGGGCGTTATGATAACCTTTTTAGCAGGAACAATCTGTCAATAAGTTGTATGCTGCCTGACGATTTTCAAACCAAAGTGTAAGACCATTATTTACACAGTAACTTGTCTACTTTTAAATATTTATTTCCTCCTATCAAGAAAAAGATGTGGTATCTGTCCATTGAGGAGGGAAGCTTACTTCTGCATGGTACCTGACGCGCTATGATGTTTTAGATTGTTCAATGGACTTTGAACTTGAAGACTATTCTTTCTGAAACAAAATTTAATTATTATTTAGCATTCTGGTTAAGGACAGATGATACAAACAATTTTTTCTTTGGAAGAGACTTAATATCATGTCACAAGTTTAGAAAAGTGGATAATTCTTAGAATTTTTTCTCCTAAGAACTGGAAAATGAAATAGACTTGGAAAATATTAGTAATTTTGCAATATAATTACAAATATGGACAAAACATTTATCAGATGAAAACAAATTTCAGAAGCAAAAGAATTTAAACTTTAGAAAAATATACCAAGCCGGGTGAATTTTATTAAGAAAAGCAAAATCGTAAAAATCAGCCTATGGTTTATTACTAATTTTTTGTCATTTTGTACTTCCTCATAAAATTCACCCGGCTTGGTATATTTTTCTAAAGTTTATATTATACTTTTAGCGCCTAGGTAACATATTCTGAAATTTGTTTTCACCTGTAAACCTTTACTGAGTATGCTTTGTCTATATTTGTATACATGTACATGTAGAAAAGAAAAGACATTTTTCACATTTAAAGAGGAATAACTCTATCTTTACGAAAAGATGAACCTTGTAAAACTTAAATTACAGAAGAACACAATGCATGATAATATGAACGCTCTTATTAATTTTCTTTTCCTATTATTACCTACTTTCACAGCTGTTATATATGGAACAATATATACATTTTTAGGTAAATCAAGATTGATTTTGACTAAAAATATTCCTTTACCCTGAAAAAGACAGAAAACTTAACAAATACAGCCAATCATTGATGAGCCATATGAAATGGAAACAAGATTCAAAATTCTTCTTTAAAATTTGTATCATTTGTTCATAATATATAAAAGTTGCAAGTTTGCGTTTTTATTTATCTTTTCAATGTTAAATTCTGTTTTTAACAAAGCTTACTTTAATAATTTTTTTATACTGTGACCAATCTTTTATTTAGATCTCAAGCTAGATTAGTATTTTTTAGATTTTGAAGCTTTATTCAAATCCCCATCCCAACACCAACCCCTGCAAAAAATGATATGAAAGTTGTAAAATTTGACAATAATATATCATGATCAATATAAAAACAAGATTCCATATTGATTTATGAACTGCAAAAAATATAGTACCTCAATTTTATATATTAAAAACGAGAGAGGAGTGCATGCTTTCTCTTGACTCAGGATGAATTTTTTTTAGGTATTTACATTGCAGGTGGTAGGGAAGAATAAATGTTTTAGTTTATTAAAAATGATAATAAAAAGATATAAATTGAGTGAATAAAAAGAATACTTTTGTTAACCATATTTCAAAAAATAATCTATAGCAATCTAAAGTTAAAAAAATATTTTTTTCTGGATAAGTTTCATTAAGATAGACCTATGCCGGAAAAGTCTTTGTGTGATATTTTCAAAATTTGACATTTCTTTCCTTGGCACTTGTTTTTAATTAAAGACAATACCTTTATATGATAATAATTTTTATACCTGTGCACGTGCAAAATCAGTCAAAAATTTTTTTTCAAAACAATAAAAATATCCTTTATATGATAATAATTTTTATACATGGGCACGTGCAAAATCAGTATGAAGAGCTAGAAATGGATTTTTTTCACAATTTTTGGTGGGTTCACATTATTTTTTAAAATAAGGTTAATCTTAATTTACAAATACATAAAATGCATCTGCATTGAAATAGAAGAAAACAAAAAATATCAATAGATCATGTGTATTTCACCATGCGAATATTTACTCCTCAACTTAATGTCATGATTACTAAGTATGTAATAAATATAATAAAACAAGCCTTTTCAAAATCCTTAGACGATTCACTGTGCACGTAATCACTCAGTGTAAAAGCCTTAATGTGAAAAAAAAACCTCAGCGAAGATTCGACATACATGTAACGATAGATTGTATTTGTTTAAAAAAAGTCAACGCATAAACCATGTCTTTATATATTCAACGTATTTGTCAAAAGCTTGCATTATAGTTTTATAAAAATTTCATTCAACATATTTTGGCATTTCAAATACACTGGGAGACGCTAACTTCAGGGGGATGAAAATATAATTTTGCTTAACAAATTAGGGTAGTTAAAGATAGGAGAGTTAGAAGCATCACATTTTTTTTATTATGAATTGCTGATGTTAGGTGACAAATGTAAAGCTATATCTCTTATTCATGTGTAGGCATACTACAGTAGGGCAAATTCAGTTTTGTTCCAATGATGATCAAATGATGAGTTAGAAAGGGACCACAATTTTCAAGCAAAAGTTTTACACCACAAATAGATTTATCGAAAAAGAAAAACTAAAGTACAGCAAATTCAGGATTTTTTTTATTTTTATACCGGTATAAAAGTATTCTCAGGTGGCACTGATTTAGATTCTTTCAAATGGTAAAGTAATGGACAACAATAAGATATTAAAGTTATATAACTGTATATTAAAAGAGATCATAGGAGAGTAATTACAGCTTGGTTATTAACATGGGATATTGAAGTTAACTTTAGTAAATTAATACTTCAAATTAAATGGAAATTTACTTTAAAGTATTCTTTTTTTTAGATTTGAATCTTAAAATCTTCTTAATTTGATATTTCTGATGTAAGATTTATTTATAAAAAATAATACAGAAGTCTTCTTTTCCATTGATGTGTATGTATGAACTAGAAACCATTAAATAAAACAACATGCATTTTTTTTTTTAGAGAAAAACCTTTGATTTAGGAATAACTCTTATTTTTGGACAAATTTATCGAGTACAATTATAATTATAACCTGGTTTGGCTCAGTTTACTTCGCAGATTATAAAACAGCAAAAACTGACCAAAATCACTTTATACTCGGAATTCTAGGCCAAACATTAGAATCATTCTTAATAATTTAATTGTAAAATCTTAAACAATCTTAATTGTAAAATTGTAATTTTTTTTCATTTCAAATTTTCTGCTCAGTGATACAACCGTAGTAATAAAAGTAATCGGAAGTGATGGGAGGTAAAAACTGATACATAGGCATAGCAACCAGGCCGTTTGTTTACATGTAGTAAGATCCAGTTACTTTTTGAAGCTAAAGGTACATTTATAAACTCTGGAATTTTCCAAGGTTCTTGAGGACTGGAAATTAGAGGATTATATGGTTTCATCTGGTTGTCAGAAGAGCGAGTCCCCATACCAAACCAGACTATACAGAAATAATCCGCGTTCCTTTTTGATATTAGATAGGATAGAGGATAGAATACAAACAAAAAGAAAATTATTTTACTATGGCGAAAAGATTCGATACTATGGTAAATTGTTAACTATAGCAGACTATAGTAAACTACAGGTATGGTATATACTGGTATTTGTTAGGGATTTTGAAAGCCATAAACATCCTTCCCTCCCAAGTAATTTTTTTTCATTATAACATTTTAAGTTTGACAAAATTGATTGTTTTATGTTTTAATTTTTTCTAAGGCTCAGTTGAGCGATATGGCCCTTGGACCACTTTTTTATTACCATGGTTGCCTCCAAAAATAAATTAAATCGACATTAGTTTTGTCTAAATTGATTAATTTCGATTTTTCTTGCCAAAGGGCTCCGGTAGGCAATGTGACCCATGAATCTCTTGTTTTTCTATTTCCATGATAGCTTCAGAAAATAAATCCACATGAACACCCAAAGATTCTTGAAGTGGTTAAATAAATTCTTCCTGATAAAAAAGAAAAGTTTACGAAAATCATATTTTATTTTATTTTAAACTTTTTAAGCATCAGACTCATTCTAAAATAAAACACGTTTTATTTCAAAGCACTCATAAGTATGCAATCACCTTGCATTCTAAACAGTGTCCCCTAACTCATGTATCTTTACTTGCGGACCAGGATTCTTATATGTTCTTTTGCTCTAAGCTTTGATTTTCAACTTTCTTTTCTTCTCATCGTCAGTGTCGTCCTCTTTGAATACTTTTGCCAGGGTAGATGGTTTAATGCCGTATATCTTAAAGGTGGGTTTGCCTGGTACCCCGGAACTAATCTCCAACTGACCACCAGTCTTCAATACAATGGTCGATCCATTGTCTGGTTCTTTTATTTTAATAATATTTTCTGACGTTACCGCGTTTGCGCCAGCATGGATAATTGGTGACAACTTAATCTTGGGTCCCTTAAACCCAACTCCAACCGATTTATTCTGTTGGTCTATGGCATTTCTTATTGATTGCAGTAGTACGGCAATTGCCTGTTGTGTTAGAGACTTTGAACTTGTTAATGTGCTAAGTACAGACTTAAGAACTTCATTTGTTTGGGTATTTGATGACGTCAAAACATGACCGTCAGACCCCAGAGAAAGCGGAAGTACAGGGGCAGCCAATAATGGTTCCGGTCGACCCACTACTATCTGTGGGTATGTATTCTTGACCGAGGACTGTTTATCTAGAAAAATCTTTGGTTCGTCAGCAACGAAATTTGGCAAGAAGGAAGCGACATCAGGATTCACTTGGCTTCCTTGATCTACGAGCGAAGATATCAAGTGTGCGTCTTGAGCTGTGTGAGCCAAACCACTAGAAGAAATTTCTGGGTGACTGAGAGAAGGTTGTCCATGTATACCCGATCCCAACTGACCAGAAGATCTTAGATCTGCGTGACCTAAGGCGCTAGAAGCCAGTTCTGCATGACCTAAACCGCTAGAGGATAGTCCTGCGTGACCTAAACCGATAGAAGACAGTTCTGCGTGACCTAACCTAGAAGAAGGAAGTTTTGGGTGAGTTAAAGAGTGCTGTCCATGTAAACCTGCTCCCAGATGACCAGCAGAACTTAGATCAGTGTGAGATAAAGAACCATGATGTCCTATACCGGCGTCCAAATGAGAACCTGCATGTTCTGAAAGGTGTAATGCATCGAGATGTGAGGCCCCTCTGTCTAAATGTCCAGTTCTTGTTCCTAATGCCCCAAGAGATGCCCTTCTTGACACAGAAAGACCAGCACTGCCCTCTCCTTGAGCTCCATGGTGGGAGGAAATCAACTTCGACCCTCTACGACGATGATGGAGCCGTTTTCTACCTAGATGACCTTTCCTTGACCTTGACCTTATCGACAGTCCACCAGTTGATGCAGCGCCCCTTCCTGTTTTCATCAAATGAATAAGTTTCTTGTTTGATCTCAAATGGTGATGTCTGGATGAAGGAAGCTTCTTCCCTGATACCGTCCCAACCGGAAGTCCTGGCATGGTATGGAAATCTGAGATTTTTGACACCCGCCTGAGAGCTGAGTTGATGAGACTGTTCTTACTGCGTCTGTCCAGAGCTTTTCCTACAGTGCTCTGCAGTTTGCTGTGTATCCGCTTACTGTCTATGGAATTCAGTTTTCCTGACACAGATCTCGAATTTCCTCTAATTGAACCGAATCCGGTTCCATGTGGATATCTGGACAAAACGCTGGCTCTACTCGTGTCATGTTTGCCCTGTAAAACTACTGCTCTGCTCGGATAGCCCCTTCTAGTCTGTAAAAATAAAAATATCATAGCTTATTTTTATAATAGCTGGAGAAATAGGTGTTTGCTATTTAATATTAGTTCAAAGTACCTATTTTTTTTTAAATATCAGTATTTAAAAAATAGTACCTAACGATAATTATGTTTTAATTGTTTAATCTTGAGAATTGGATAAATTCTTCCGAGTATAACTGGGAATGACCTGAAAAATATTTTCTAAATGAGGAACACTTTACAGTAAGTGTTCCTAGGTGAGTTATATATATTAAAAAAACTTATGAAAGTCTACATTGTATAACATTTTTCGAGCAAATATTATCAGACAAAACCACATTAATTTATTATTAGTATTCACGATTATTTTTGCCATATAATGTATTTATTTCATATGAAAATTGTTTACTTAAAAAATATGACCATTTATGACAATTTTAACAATGCCATATTCATTTATAGACATTTTCTCTTCAGATGTATACGGGTTTATCACTACATGCAATTTGTACTTCATGTGTTTTCCGTTCGAATGTTGTCTTCGATAGCTCTAAAATTGTTCAAATTAAAAAATCTAATTCGTTGGGGGAGGGGGTCCGACTTAATTTTTTGATTTGAACATATTTTATTATGTTATAAATACATAAATGGATCAGGTGGCAGGCAAAAGCCCTCTCCACATGGGGGTTCCGACTTCGTTCGATACCAAATTTTCAAACAAACGTTTACATTGTCCCTATTTGACTATACTGCAACAAAAAGGGGAGCAAACAGACCTTCAAATTACATTTTCTATAGTGAAAGTTACGTCTGAAACCCCACCCCTGATGCTACGTGTCTGAGACTATCAAATAATTAAAGAATTGCTTGTTGATCTAATTCAGAATTAAGAACCCCTAACTGTATCCACCAACAAACTCTCTATTTTGCTATTTCACGGCTTTTTGTAGTAGAGGTTTCTGCGAGAATTACTTAGTCGAATCCAAATATTATTTTAATATGGTTTAATTAAGGATATCATCTCATAGTTAGTATAGTATAAGAGGAGTAAAACTGAAAACTGTGGTACTATAATGTTTTAAATTATGAATTTACCGGGTGGCAGTAAATACGAAATCTACAACATGACATTTAACGGGTTGCAGTAAATACAAACTTATCAACATGACAGTACGCGAATCAGAGTTTTTTTGCCAGATCTATTAATTTATAAGTATAAATAATAATCTGAGTGGATTTAGTAGGATACTCCCACTTCAACCCCCAATCACTTTCAATTTCATTTTCAATGATATCATTTTCAATTTTTATATATTTTAAGTTATAAGGGGTGATTGGTGGATTCATTCTTTCAATTAAGATAAATTCACGGCATGTCCTTATCGGGTCTTTCTATAAAGCAATCGCTAACACTTGAATTTAAGACTAATATTTAAAATCATTTTACTTTATCGAAAAAACTTAAATATGCAATTTTAAAAAGAAATCATCTTTTTCGACGAGGTGTAAATATCATCTGGGAAACAATTTAGATTTGACAGCAAATTCTAAATACTAGGATTTTGAGAGTTTTAATATTATTTTTGTGTCTGCATTCTCAGCAACATAATTTTCAGGCACAGATAAAAAGATATAATAATTTTGGATGAATAACTAAAACGGAAGACAATATCTTTCAGTAAATAAAAATAAGAATATACAGTATTTTTCCCTAAAAGTACTAAAGAGACAAAGTAAACAAAAAAAGTTTAAAAATCGTATTCTTGAAAGAAGAAGTATTTCTTGTTAGAAAAGATACATTCCCATTAAGCAATATTTTATATCCCTCCTTCATTTTAAATTTCACATTTATAACTCTTGAAAAAAAAATCCCTTTTTTAGATTTTTAGATTTCCGTTTTTTTCTTTTTGATATGCATATCTCTTTCAAATAAAACCAATGCTGTTTTTAATAGTTTTTTTTTCATTTGTTTTATCAAATAAAACGATTCTCTCATTCTTAATGAATAGTGATATAGGTTTGCCCGTATCCTATCATATAATATAATTAACGAAGGTTATAACTGACAAAATCTTGAAACTAAGCGCCGTGTTATCCGTAATTAACACATAACATCAATAGGAAGGCGTGAATGCAATAAACACCGGACTGACTGCTACATAATATGCTACCGCAGATCGAGTCATGTTAATGTAACAGACACCGAGTGTCCATCGTTCAGGAAGCTCTATATGATTCACAATTTCACGGATATATTAATGTAGAAATGGCTTATATCAGGCGGTTTTATATGAATCATAATTTTACGGTGATCTTTTACATGCATTTTTGTGGAAATGCTTCATACTAACCTTTGTAAGAGCTCCATTAGCAGAGACAGCAAAGAAACAGATAGTGGCATACAACAGGGTTGTCCATTTCGGCTGTACCATTTTACAGCTAGTGTTAACACGTATTCCTTAAGCAATATTACATGATAGAATGAACATATGGCCTTGTCTGAAAATATTAATTTTTTTACCCTTTTGGTCAGAAATTATACTCTATTAGGCACAAATTATCTCGGTGTGTCGTGGGAACATATAAAACATATCAATTCTGACCACTCGCAGAATTTTACAGACCGTTTGACCTATATGTGCCCGCCAAGTGATTTTTATGTCGCATACAAAGTTGTTACCTTCTTATCACAGCTAGATCTTTTGAAACAAATTCTGAAAGTTTTACAATTTTGTCTTTACTATTACTTCAATGTAAACCACCTTATCTGCTTCATTGAAAATATAATCAATAAGATATGCAACATAACTGATTAATTTTGAATAAAGGAGTATTAATGACTCTTTGGATTACATAATGATTAGACGTGCACAAGAACAAGAATTTAGAAAAGAATTCACAGAAAAAAAATCTGAATTTTAGTTTGGGCGTAAAGTTAATTTAACACCAAGTCTCTAGGTTCATTGCAATTAAAGGCTTGGACATCGGCAAGATCTTAACAGCATGGTAGCTCAAGTGTTGTAATACCGCATTGCTTCTTGGGCGGGGAGGTTACCACCCAAGAATTTCCGAATGAACGAAATGCCAAAAGATTTCCGCAATCAGAACGAAATGTTTAAGATGAAATATTTCTTTCAATCGTATTTTAAAACCAGAAAGTAGAACAGTATTTTCATACTACCCAGGATAACCTCAAACTTGCTTATATGACCATATGTTTCTATTCAGAGTGAAAGTAGTGGCCCGCGTGGTGCAATAGGACCGTCTGCTCTTGATCAACCCCCTGACTTCGACTCATGCATTACCGCTGTCGTTGACTTAAGATTAAAGGTGTTAATCACAAGAAATAGTGCGATTAGATCGAATGGCAGTGAAAGGAGTTGATCGTTACTTGGTGGGTTCGAATCTTATGTATGGAACATGGTAATTGGCCCTTCAATGATACCATGTAAACCAAGGTCCCATGTTACGGTAGCCGTTGCCATGAAAAAGATCCAAACCCTCTCAATGGCCTTTGGTGTAAATTTTCAGTCCTGCATCGGCAAGTGGTAGATTCTGTTTATATAACAAAAACTTTTAAGAGGGGGAGGGGTGCATTAAACAACAACAACAACAACAACAACAACAACGAAACAACGAACGGAAAAGAAAGTATTTAATCTTCTTGTAGCAATAGAGAGTGATTGTTAATCTAGGTTAAATTCATAAAACGAAGATCCATATCAAAGACTCTAGAAAATGGTATTGCAAACTGGTTCTTCCGTTCTTCCGTGCTTTTCAATACTTGTGTTTTTTACAAAACTGTGTTTATATTCTTCCATTCTTTCAGTGTTTCAATTTTTTTCAAACAAGAGTTTTTTTGTACGTAGCAACTATTTTATCAATAAACCATATTATCTCGTGCAAAATGTGAAGTGGACTGTGTTTTACCTAAATATTTGTAATCAAAGTTTAACGTAGAAAATATTTTAACTGCAAATGTATATCGTATCAAATACTTCACTTTTTCTTCTTTTTGTTCTATGAGTATAATTCGGTAAAAAAAAAATATTCAGCGTGATATACGAAATAGAAAAAAAAACCTCGTTATTAATGGAGTTAATTCCCTTTGAGTAAAAAATGGCCGTTCCTTGACTGACATGAACTGTCATCCCTGTCCGGTATGTTAATTTCAGTTCTATGATTAATGTAGATTTGGTCCCTGACGATTCGGACATGTTAACGTTTTTAAGATCTGAACTAGAAACACCGTGAGCAATTTGCTCTTTACTGAAACCCCTGCCTCCTATATGGTTATACATATGGAGAAATAGTGTTCATTCTGCTCATTTGCATAGCAGCCATTTTGGAACTATAATGACGGCCGATTTCATAAAGGTTTATATAGAGAAAATACCAAAAATCGCATTTTTTATAAATACCTATTTCGGATAAAGTTCTTCCGCTGATGGTTTGATTCTACCTTTTATTTTCTATCAGAAATGACAAGATTGTAAATTTATACCAAAGAGAAAGCTGTGTGCGACCGCCTTTTTGATTTGAAAATAAGATAGTTAAATCAGTATGAATTAAAGAGTATATTAATTTCATGAAGGAAGGAGTACAGATGTTGTGTTTTTATAATTTTTGATGATGAAATGTAAGTGTTTATTGGTTGACGACAGAGATCTTCCGCCGATTAAAGGGTACAGAAGAGAGCCTTTTTTTTTTTTTTTTTTTTTTTTTGCAAAATATACATGATTTACCATTTCATGAGGATTTACGACCGCAATTTTAATTTGAAAACGGCAATTTCTTACATTAGGATGACCTATATAGTATATAACAAAGAAAAGAATGATATTTTGAATCGTCAGCTGTTAATCACGCAAAATTTTAGCTATATTAATATGACGAAGGCCTGAGCAAAATAAAAAAAAAACGGTACAGGATTGTAGGTTTTAACATAAAGATATAAAGAAATAGAATATTTCAAGTTTATGCACTATCTCATGAATATTAATGAGAAATAAATCACATGGTAGCAATCTCCATATGATGGAAAAGATAAGGTATTGCTTCGGAACACTGAAAACAATTGTCAGATCAAAAAGTAAAATAGAAGATGCACAAGGGCATGTTGTGATTAACAATCTTTGAAAGTATCATTAAATCTTATTCAGTGGTATAGGAGGAGTTGCGGATAAGAGATGGATACCATTCCATATTATAGAAAGAATGACCGTGTCCATAGTATGGTCTGGGAAATCCAAAATATGTGTCCAATAAAACAGTAAAACAGAAGGTCACAATGGCATTATGTGACCAGGATTCTATGAAAACCTCGTCAAATTTCATGCATCCGTTCGTTATAAGAAGAGTTGCAAAGGAGATTTTGGCACCCCAAGCGTAACAGACGTACGGACATTTCCATCACTTTATTGCCTCCCACTATTCAAGGGGTGTAATAACAATGGCCTTGTGATAACCTCAGTAATTTAATTTTTAGGATTTTGACAAAGAACTATATGCGGTATATTGCATATGTTTGCCCCCACAAAAGTCAAATTTTGAAAACTTCCTGAAATGTACTGAATTCAATAATTTGTACGAGAAATATAAGTTAACAGAAAATATTATAGTTCCAGAGCAGTGTATTCACAATATCTGTTTTTATGACGTCACAAACTAGTCCGATTTTATATCCTTTTTCAGAAAGAGGACAAAATGGACAAAATTTCAACAATTTAAGCTTTAAAATTTATAGAGCGCATGTGTGTTCAGGAACAATATTGACATATTTCATTGATATTATCATTCTACACATTATATCAAAATATTTATCCTGAACACACATGCGCCCGGTGACTTTTATTTAAGATACATTTTTCTGCAAAATTCATAAAAAACTGAAATTACGTCATATTTGTGACGTCATTACGTACATAACATGAAATTATTCATGCTTTGTGATAACCTCATATTTAATTTTTAAGGACTTAATTAAATATTACTCCATCAAAGTTTGATTTTGGGGGGCAAATGTTGGTTAATACCGCATATAGTTCTTTGTATCTAATCCATGACCTTATGTTTATCTCTGTAAATATCTTATCCGGCAATGTTACACATATATTCTAAGCATGAACATCACAACCTTGTTCGTAAACAAGTGGTCCGTTGTTTCTCACGGGTCCCTGATAGGGACATGCTTCAGTGTAACAGAGCCTATGGAACAGCGTGTTAGAACGAAGTGACAATTAGCTAGCAATGTGACAATGTGCTATTGTGCTGTATGTGACAACTTACTAGCAGTAAATGACAACACGCTAACCCATGGCCAAAGTGACATCGAGCCAGAGCGCCAGCGTTTTTTCAATTGTTTCAATTATTTCAAACAGGGGCTTTTGTAGACGTAGGAGCCTTTTCCATTTCTTCATAAAACACCAATAAAAGGTATTATGAGTATATACTCATTGAACTCTACCTTGAGTTATCTTATGAAAAAGATAAACTTGTGTTTTCTACCTCCGTTTTTGCAAGCAAGATTTTTCTTCGACAAAAATGTTCTTATTCATATCTTATAAATTGCTTCTTTTTTTTTGGTTCTTATTATACGAGTATAATCCTGTAAAAAATGATCTGGCGTGATGTACGGAATAGGAAAACTCGTTATTAATGGAGTTAATTCCCTTTAAGTAAAAAATGGCCGTTCCTAGACTGACAGGTAGTGTCATCCCTGTCCAGTATGTTAATTTCAGTTCTGTGATTAATGTAGATTTGGTCCCTGACGATTTGGACAGACATGTTAACGTTTTTAAGATCTACCAATAACCTTGCGATTATCTCACTGCTTTGCTTTGTGAGGCCTTTGACAGATATGTATCTAATCCATGACCTTGTGATTATTTCTGTGAGTTTGTTATTCAACGATTTTTAGGGGTCAACAATTCGGCCTTTTTTTATTCTGTAGTATGTTGATTCAAGATATAAGATAAAACTAATTATCTAATACGGTCAGTGAACCAGATCAGCTCGCTTAACCGAGGCTTGGGGTGTGGGGGAGGTTGTTAATTTTTGTATATTTCGAAAGTTTTTTTAAGCCTTTGCAATATATTAACCTGAAAATTTGAGCAATCATGTGTACTACAATTTGATTGTTAAAACTTTAGAGGGCTATATCACCTTCAATTTCAGACAAATCAAAAATATTCAAAACTGACACATGACACTAACAAAATCTTTGTATTATAGCTGTTGCAACATATTTACTAAAATATTTGGGGGCATCTAGAAATGCCCGAATAGCATTATGGAACTTTGCAAATCAGATTTAAATACATGTGTATGCACATAATTTCGAAAATCACAAAGCACAACATCCCGTAGAATGCAATTAAAATCATTCATTTCCAATGAAGATGTTAGCGTGTTTACTCTGGAAACTTAAAAA